GCTTACATGTAAACCCATTTTGTTAAGTCATCCAAATTACTTTATCGTTAGTTTTAAATCTGATTTACTAAAAGAAAACTTAGAACTACAGAATGTCTCGCAAAATTGATAAATAATAGCTTGGCTATTACAGTATTTAATACAATGAACAATTTACTAACATGAAAAACACTGCCATTAAAAAAAATGGATTTACCATATAATAATGAAGTAATTATTTTGTTCTGAATATATTAGTCCTTCTGCACATTCACCGTTTCATTAAAAAATATATTTGTTACAATCTTGTTCACAGAGATTCTGTTATAGATCAAGGACATCGACCTGTTATTAACATCAATTATATAACTGTTAAGAGCGCGAAATGTGTCGCATTTGACAGTACAATCAATGTGCGCACCAAAGTAAAGAAACTAATTACGGTATGTATGAAATGTAATGTAATTCTTGAATATAGGAGGCGTATCCAGAAAAAAATGAGAGTTTTAGAAAGTTACAAAGTATTGTCATCTTTCAAATAAATCCATACAGTGCAACTATAAATGATGTAAACATTATTCAAACTCATTTTGTAATATTTAATGTGCATTTAAAAGTACTGTGATAACGTGCAAAAACAAGTGTACATAACAAATGAAAACGATTTCAAGATATTACGGCACCTACCGTAAGGTGACGGGGGAGTTGGGGAGCCAACTGATTGTACAAAAGTAAGCCATTTTTGTTCAGGGCGAGGCTAAGGATTTAGGGCACAGGGGCCAATCTCCCTGGGCTCTATAAGCCCCCTGCTCCAACATTTGCTCGGATATTTCTGTTGACCTCACCACTCAAAGTGAAAGTCCAAATACCAAGATCAAAAAAAAAATCTTAATTGGTAAACTGCTACGAGCTGACGATCCCGCTTTAACATCACCCACAGAATAGGGACTGCAGCCTGCAGCGGTTAGTAAATCGCCTCTCCCACTTCTGTGGTTTAGACTTAATCCCGAGTCTAAATAAAAACTGTTTTGCTAGCCACTTAATATTCAACGGCTTACCATCAAACCTGCTATAGATGAACATGAAATAGTAGGACGAGATGTGTACAAATATATTTATATACATTTTTTTTATAATAAAAAAAAAATAATCAAATTAACATTTCCACTAGGAGCCTTCAAATACAGAAATAAAATAATTTTTATTGAACAATATCTGAATGCGTAATCCATGAGATAATTATGAAACAAAGGATTTTATGATTTCAATTCAAACTAAAGGAGCACTTTTAGTAAAAAGAGAGATATTTGGTGCACGTGCTCATCCTTGCTTAACACCACTGCTAAATGAGGAGGCAGTCAAAGGCGAATGTGCTGTGCATTTTTCTTAAATATAGTATGCTGATTGCAATTAGTCGTGGAGTAAAACCAGTTTTATGCAAGACACTAAGCAGACAACGTTCGGCTGTCCAGGTCGAATGCCTCGGTCAGATCTATAAAAGCAAAACCTTTAAAAAATGCATGGCATGCATTTGATAAACATAAAAAGATATCTAATTTGGCCTTACTTCATTAAAGAAATGTAATACCAATATATTACATTTTCAAATTCGTATCATCATCTTTGACGAGCTTGCATGCTTCTTGATCATTCATTTCAATAGCATTAATTTATGTAAAATGTATCTTAAACTAAATTGAACAATTAAAAAAAAACGTGGGTTTCGTATTGACACCGTATGGTAACGTGGTGCCTAAAATCTGAATAAGTTTGTTTTCATTCTTCACTGTCGCTGGTGCATTGCTGGTGTTGTGGGAAATCAGGACAGTGGTTGATAAAGCAAGACCTGCGTTTGTTGGGATGCCAATCCTCATGTGTTTGGCTTTCCTTTAAAATAGGAATGGTGTAGGTGTGTACACTCGCTTTGCCAATCGACACATGAAGAGCAACAGACAGGTTGAACATAATCGCTACTACTGCTATGAATTATTGACTAATATTATGAATAACTTAAAAATTCAACTCTTCTGGAATGTTGGAATGATTTGTTGAATGAATGTGTAGTACCAAGCCTAGAAAAAGAAAATGATATTCGTTGAATAACGCACCGTGATATTCCAAATGTTTTTCAAGTTTATTTTTATTCTTAAACTAGAAAATTTCGGATAGCCATTTTGTCTTTCAATTGTTTTTTTTCCCCCTTGATGTTTATTAATTTTGTTTGTTTTGTTTATTTTTATGTCAATCTCATTGCATGTCTTATTATATACTTTGCCAAAGTTCAAGTAAGCATTCTATAGAATGCCTGTAATCAAAGGGTTAAATACTTAGTGTAAAATAAACTTTGCCTAGACATTGTAAGTCAATGCCTAGATTTTATATTTTGTCTGTCTGAAATAGTCACCTGTCTTTAACACTATCGCTTATTAAAAAATAGAACATGCAGCGGTGTCAAATATATGAGCCAATATGGTGTTTATGTATGAGCCGGTATGGTATTTTTATCAGCCAGCATGGTGTTTTTTATAAGACAGTATAGTTTTTATGTAGGAGCCAGTATGGTTTTTATGTATGAGCAAGTATAGTTTTTATGTGTAAGCCAGTATGGCTTTTATTTATGAGCCAATGTGGTGTTTATGTATGAGTCATTATGGTGTTTATGTGTGAGCCAGTATGGTGTTTATGTATGAGCCAGAATGGTGTTATGTATAAGCCAGTACGGTGTTTATGTATGAGCCAGTATGGTGTTTATGTATGAGCCAGTATGGTGTTTATGTATAACCCAGTATGGTGTTTATGTATAACCCAGAATAATGTTGACGTATGAGCCAGTATGGAGTTTATGTATGGGCCAGTATGGTGTTTAATCTTTGATTTAGAAAATATTTAATCTTAACCTTCACCATGCAGATGATAATTTTGTACTTGTACCTAAAAACTTTGTTCTTAAAGTCCCAATAAAACAACATACAGTCACATGAGGTCCTTCGAAATATGCTTCTGAAAACTTGGCTGGTTAAAGATACCGAAAGAAAATCATTGTACACTTAAAGATTTTTTATTGGTTTAGTTTGTTTTTTTTGTTTTTTTTTAAATAGACAGTCCAATGTGTTTGTAAATGACTGACACGTGACATATGTTAAACCCAAGAGTCGCCCTTAACGTTGTCTGACGGTTTTTGTGTAACGTTGTTTTTTGCCTTCCTTTTATTTTATTTTTAAAACATTTAAATGAGGAAGGATTAGATTCTATATTGACAACTATATCAATATGGTACATATACTAAGATGTGGTTGAGTCGTACATAATCACACGGGTGTGACGTTGTAATGGTAAGATGCCAAATGTCTAAGAACTTGAAGGTGGACTAAGTTAGTGAGTTTCTCAAGGTCTCCTTGCGAATATAAATATAGCGTGATTGAACTGGACGCCCTCACATATGACACATATTCAGAGAGCTTAACTGTGTACTTCTCATATAAGCTGAACCCTACAGCACGACTTCTGTAATAGTTAAATATGATTAATTGATTATTTAATTTCCCTTTTTTATAATCATGTGATGTCTATTATTCTAACTAATTGTTGTTATGTGTTCAAATTTATTAGCCAACATGATTATGACTTATTTTGAATAATATATTTATTGCTAGCTATATATGTGACATACTTTGAATAACCTGTTATATACAGAGTTATCCCACGTGTTTAATGAATAATTGTCATCCTTGCGATAACTTGTTAAAAATTATTATCCAGAGTCATCCAACCTGTTCATTGCTAGTTATATATACTTTTTTGTCGCATTAAATAAACGGATTATCCATATTATAACATTGTGATACCCATTTTTTTATAACAAATAACATAAAATTGATCGAATTCAAACCAGCTACCGTGGTCCAAACTGTCTTCACTACCAAATGGCACCTATGTCCTTAAACAATTGTCCAAAGGGAGCATGACAGATGTTTAGTTACAGGAATGTTGGTCGCATAATTTGTACGAGCAAACGCAGCACCTGCCTGAGATCACGTGTGAGATACTCATTTAGTCTTATCTATAGCGCACTTCAATTGCGGTTAAATATCGTTCAAATAGAAAGCTTGCTTTTACTTAGTGATATTTTATTTAAAAATCTTTCTTGATTCATTTTTCAAACTTCCGCCCCCTCCCCCAACCCTATTTACACTATACGCAAAAATAACACTCAACTTTTTTCTCTGTCAAAAGACCCATTTCCAACAACTGCCCAATGTTACGTTTCACTACTAAAAACATGAGCTGACCGCATCTTTGAACAGTTGACAACGACGTACGCGTTTAAGGCTCAGTACTGTCAGTGATGTTTTCTCGTACACTGTATTTGGGACGTAACTCAGGCTAGAAGCATTCTTGAATTATTCCTAGGTTTCATGTGATCGATTTGATTCGTTAAAACACAAAGAACTCGGTTTTTTCCCCATCATTTTATTCCGTGTTATTTGAGCTTTAATTTTAAGCGCCCGGTAGAGTCAATAAGTTAAATGGTGGGCGTAACAGCAAATTTTTAAAAAATGCAACTCTAAATATTACCGTTCTTAGCGTTCATTCCAGAATAACGACATAAATTAAAGTATTTTCCGAGTTTAATAATATCTTTTTAAATAATCCAATTAGGAAGCCAGTATAGGAGCTGCTCATTCCTGCCCAAGACAATCAGGGACTGGACTAATCTTTCAAAAGGAACGGTTGAGGCGACAACACTAGACACATTTGTGTCTATTGCCTCAAGCCTTCAAACCCCCAGTGCATGATTCCCTCACAAAGTGGCACTGGAAATCTGTGAAATTTCCTCATCAAAACCAGGAACAGAAACATTGCAAATCCCATCTACATGCATAGGAGCCAAAATGATCAATAAATTGATCGTGGGCCCTTAAGATATAGAAGAAGAAGAAGAAGAAAACAGAACAATGCAATGAGGTCAAAAAAACAAATTGTTGAGAAGTTTGAAGTATGTTTTATTTATAATCTTAACACCCATATTTTGTTCTTTTTTTACAAACGAATAGTTAAATGAAAATTACAAACGCTACAACTAGCAATGGAAATTAATTTATTTAAATTCAAAATTGAATGCAAAAGCATGTAAGCACACACTCAAACATCACCAACATATCACCCAAAAATATCCACACATAATGAAAAATCATCCACAAAAACCCCACACAACAAAACATCACCCCAGACAGGATATCACGTATGAATCAGACCTGTTTACTCTTACGATTTTGGCGTACAATGTACGATTTTGAGGTGTATACATTATATACACTGTTATTTTTTTTACTACTAAGATAATGTATTGAACGATTTTGTGATGATATTGTACGATTTTAAGAGTTTGTGGGTAAACAGGTCTTCGTATCATTTTTTAAAAAAAATTGCAATAAATATTATGTTAACATTTGCCTGTACCAAAAGAGATAAAGTCCATCAATTACTGATATAAATACATTTAAAATTATAACAAAGAGATATATGCAATTAACTATTTGTATTAATATAACTATGAAAACAACAATGAGATATACATTGAAATAGATTTTACCGGGATCTGTAACTGAAAACGGGACAAAAGGTGTACCTCATGGGGATTAAAGTGGTCGATAGTGGCCTTTTTGTAAATTATATCCACCAATAATGTATTAAAGATTTGCATGGGGCGCTCGTAAGTTTGACCCACGCGAGATTTCTTCAAGGTTGACAAAGAAACAGGCGCGTTCAAAAGAGGTATCGAATACTTCTTTACTATCGATTCACTGTTTCAATACTATTATATCCTTTAAATAGATGGAAATACATGGTGTACTATTTTGAGAAACAATAGCTCATTCCGATATAAAAAGGATGGGGGAAGGGTGAAATGAACGTTAGATTAAAATTATCGCATATTTCAGGGGCGTACATAAAATATGTTTGTTGTATATATGAGTAAACCGCCCATGTTTGGAGGGGAGGGGGGTCTTTTCTTCATTATTATGATACTCTTTTTTTAATGCGCTCATAGAAAAAGGAGTGTATCAAGTTTTTCGATTGAAGCCCTTTCTGCAATTAGTCAAAATTCGCCATTGTATGAGTGAGTGCATTTGATGATTATAGCACTGTCTCAAAAGTACACTTAGTCACGCTCGTAACAATTGCAGTCCATAGTTAATGTCCCTTTTTATATCAAATAAGTTACATGTGAATTCATTGTAAGATTCTTAAATGTCACAAATGTCAAGCTCCGGTCTACATCTTTTTACTGACACGGTAATATTATTGAATTATTGAAAAATTTGGTCTGAACAGAGAAAAACCATTAAACGTCATATTCATCAAGATATGTACATTGGGTTTTTTAATAGTCTTAAATTAAAATAAAATCTATATACAAGAATCCAAAGGTTCATTCATGTATACCTCTTTTAAACTATTATGTATTACCTCAAGCCCCTACACATTTTTAAATATTGATACAGCATACGTTTTATGTGGTCTGGTGTAATTCATCATGCATGGCCAACATAGTTATAACGTCATTTATCAGAAGGAAATACGTGTAAGGCCCTTATATGCGTCTAAGCTGCTAACACTTTAAGACTTTTATTTTACAAATTGCGAAAGCGAGCACTGCCGATTATATTGGCCAGTAATGTATTATAAAAATGTCTGAAATTATATCATTTTATAATACATTTTATTATCTAATGGGACATTTGTTGGATTTAGTTAACAAGAAGGAGTACATGGTTTGAAAACGCTTAAACGGTAAATACCTACATGATCCTATTGTCATAGAAGTTGTCACTTTTTTAAATTGAATTAATATTTATATTTTTTTTAATTTTCAGTTTTTACACTTGTAATTTTTCGTAAAAGTCACAATACAAGCTTGCAGACTCATTCTTTGATTCTGCAATTTCATATAGATTGAGAGCGTTTTCGGCACCAAATTTTTCTTTAAATTTATTCATCCAGAGTTTCTCCTTTTTCTCAAAAATTATCTCCTTAGTCTTTTTTATCCATTTTATATTTTTATCTCTCAATATTTTTTCAGCGTCCATATCTTTATATTCCTCTTTATTAAACTCTTCATCTGAAGCTTTAATTCTTTGTATCAGCTTTTGTATAAGGTCTATGATATCTTTTTTTGTGTGATTGTCCCATACAATCTTCATCAGGTCATTTTTTGATGACTTGTCTACTTCAATTACCCACGATATTTTCTTCTTGAGATCAATAGGACAATTGTTGAATATGTATGTCCACTTGTGTAGAAAAAAGGTTTGTTCCTCATTTAGTGAATAAATCACTCTAAATTGTAAATCTCGAACAGTGCACTCGGAATTTACTCCAAGGGTGTGTTTGTGAAAGGCACCTTTTGTATAATTGTCACAAAAAGTATTGGGATATCTTTTTGAAAATGTTTCTCTTGTTTTACCAATGTAATATTTGGCACAGTGTTTACATTTGATATAATATATAATAAAAACAGAATCGTAAGGTAGTTCTTTTATATCTAGATTTAGCTTCTTAATTTCAGAAAAACCCAATTCATGCGATTCATTAAATTTCAATACTTCAGGCTTTAAATCAAGTTCTTCCACATTTAATTCTTTCTTCCAAACTGACAAGTTGTTGTTTGGAGGTAAATTCTTTGTATTAATGATTAAGCATTTTAATGATTTTCTGTTATGACAGTTCTGTGGTTCACATTTTAATTTACCATTAAACCCAAAATTGATCACAGCAAGATCTTTCATTGTCATTTTTCCAATAGTAGAACCAAGCAACACTTCATCACAATTAATACAAAACACCAAGAACACTACAGATGTTTCGTCACAGATCATGGACTTCGAAGCTTTACCATTATATTTATCTCCCATCATCTTCAAAAAGTAGTAATCGCAGAAAATACACCTCTGACCAGGATAACACTGCTTGGGGTTTGAAAGCTGTGAAGAAATTCCAACAAATAATATTTCATAATATCATCATTTTAATAGTGATTTGAAAAATTAAAATTATCTTGGACATTTTTTATCGAACTTTGAACAATTCAAAACAATAGAATAATTTAAAAAAAGGAATTGTAGATAGTTGATTTACTTAATTCATTAAAAAACTAACTTGTATTACGTCCCAGTATAACAGACCAGAATATACCGCTCTACAAATACGTTCAAGGTATAGCCAGAGAATACATTGGGAGTTAAAAAAGCCTAGGCCAGACTAAACGACACAACTCAAGATAAAACTAAAACATTTGTGTACAGTGATAGACAAGTGACTTGCTTCATTGTTAGCCTTTTTTTTTAAAGTAGTGGGGATAGGGATTCAGCTGTTAAGAATAATTTAGGGTGAGTTAAGTGAGAAAACTAACTTACTTAAATCTTAATACTTTAAAGACAGCATTTTTATTTCTTAACCAGAGAACGCTACAATTACAATTACAAAGCTCAAGATATGTATTTAGTTAAATTTAAGGGTAAACCACGGTGATAATAATCATGTTGAAACGTTATGTTTAATTAATTTGACTGTTATAATGCCTCCCTCTCTCTCTCTCTCTCTATATATATATATATATATATATATATATATAATAAATGCAGGCATCCTCACGTCACAATTTGACGATGGTGTGGGCATTGAAGGACGAAATCCACATGGCCTGAGATTATTCTTAAAGGACTATAAGCTGGTTCTCAACAGGAACGTGCCTCTCTCCACGCCGCTGGATAACCCAAGGGAACATCATTGGATCATCAGGGGCGTCGCAGGAGTTGTCGGAATGTTTCATTGTACCAATGTTATCCGCCTTTCGGTACTCCATCTCCGGGTTTGATTTCAGAGTTTACTTCTCTTAGATGAGTTGCCATCCCAGGTTACGAGTTGTATCTACCCGGGGTGCTGGTGATATTTTTGCTTGACTGTGCAAAAATAAATATATAACGCTTTACCGTTTTGATCAATGTCGGTACACACAAATTTGTGATTCAGCCATATTTAAGATCGCGTTGAATATATGTCATACCAATATATATATATAATCATTTCGGGAAGCTAGTATAAGATTACAGGTGTAAATTCAAACTGTAAAATCAAGAGATGGAGTCCCGAAGTCGATCTGACGATGATTACAAAGTCATTTCGGCATCTAATGTCATTCCCTTGAATCCACTGGCTGCGTGGAGAGTGGGGATCTGCTGCATTGGACAACAGCTAGTCTCCATAAAACACCAAACGTTGAGCAGAGCTTTTGTGTAAGCAAGGAAAATAATATAATAAAAATTCCACCGCCGCTACAACACATAGAATGTAAGACACGTGTGTCCTAGATTTGACTTAGAGTAACATCAGATTGACAGCACGAGAATGACTGCCTTCAGCATAAACCCTACTCAACGGGTGCAGACAGTCCAGGACAGAGCCATGTGGAGAGCTGTTGTCAAGAAGGGGGCGCGGCTACTTATCATGAAGCTAATAGGATAACCACAGCTGAGACACGCAGGCTTGTCCGAAAGAGCAATATTAAGTCATCGTCTGAAGCAACTATTCCATGCCCGCGGTATCATAGATTATTCCGAGCAAGAATTGTTCTAGCAAACCACCTATGAGCTCACCGTAACCTAACCATCAGTCCATCAGTCCATCAGTCCATCAGTCCATCAGTCCATCTTTCCATCTGTCCATCTGTCCATCTGTCCATCTGTCCATCAGTCCATCAGTCCATCTGTCCATCTGTCCATCAGTCCCTCAGTCCATCAGTCCATCAGTCCATCTGTCCATCTGTCCATCTGTCCATCTTTACATCTGTCCATCTGTCCATCTATCATCTATCTTTCTGTTACTTAAGATTTATATAGAGCCTCAATGTGGATTTATGGATATCTCTGTGGTTTTTGGTGGAGTGGTGTTTTGTGTCATTGTTTGACCGTTATACACTTACAGATTTATGAACCTAGTGAGCTATAATTTTGCAATTTTTTTTCCAAAATAATAGAATTAGAAAAGACTTTTTCAATTTTTGCCTTTCTTTTTATTTCTAATTATGAACTTTACAAAGGAAAAAGTTTAATGATTTTGTCGGTGAGACAAAATTTAATAGTTTAATTTAAGTTTTTATTGGTTCACAAAAATAAACGTCTTCTGTGCACGGTGCGTAATATATCTTCAACAATTCATTTGCTTGTAAATCAATCAGCTCCAGCTATTGTTAAACTTGCACATTGTCAAGATTACAATCAGAAGGATTCTGGAACACAAGAATGTCACGCTCAATTCTGCCAGGATCTGAAAATCTCTCCAAAAATGCTTCTTCAATTCAAAATTATTTTTTCCGGAGCATCGTGGTTGGTATCGTCAAAGATTTCAGCGTAAAACTTTTGGAAACAATTTTGCTTCAAACAACGACAGCTGTCTCCCATATCCTTTTATGATCTATTGAGGTGACAGAGAAGGCATTTTTTTTGGCTATGTTTGTCACTTTATGCATCTATTCTCACTTGTAATTACTTACTAATCACTGTCTAAATAAGAAACCCTTGTTACTTACCTATAAAATGGATACGCCGTATATTGTACTACAGCATATACACTCCATGCGTTCTATTTCTATGACTGAAGAACATTTTAAAAACAAATTATTTGATATTTTTAAGGTTAATTTAGATTGAACTTGCTTTACATATTTTACCTCCTGATGTTGAAGTTTATGAAGAGCAACCATGACCCTCCTGATGTTTTCATCTGAAAATAAAAAAGTAATACTTTTCATGCTAGAGTTTACATTCATTATCTCTGTTATTATTTGTTTCGTTTTACGTGTAGAAATCTTGACATGTAGGGCTCAACCCAAATTCTCCCTCACTTTTGCAATAAACACCTTTATTTCCTCTTTTTCCTCTACTGACATATCCACTGAACTCAATTCTTACCCTAAACCATTACAGGTCCCTGCAACACCAACCAGTAACAGTGTATATTGTTTTATATTCGATTTTAATGGAGAAAAAATCCCATGACAAGAAAATTTGACATCTACTTTTAGACTAGGTAAGAATATTCTTTCCCTTCAATTCTGCGATAGTTACTGCTATTCACAATAAAACACAGACAATTAAAAGTTAGTTTAAAAAAAAACAACGTACTTTTTTCAATGAAAGGAAATTGTTTCAACAACGCTAGATATGTTGGGTCCTTTTGACTTGCAACTGTTTCCAAACCGTCATTTGAACCTGTGTCAACTGTTTCCATATCGTCATTTGAATCTGTGTCAACTATTTTCAACGTTTCATCCATATCTAGGACAAGTGCGTTCAACTCGTCATTTAGATCTGTCTCTTTATCAGAATGTGCAGAATCGTATATTTTCAACGTTTCATCCATATCTAGGACAAGTGCGTTCAACTCGTCATTTAGATCTGTCTCTTTATCAGAATGTGCAGAATCGTATTTTGATTCAGTTCCTGTGTCAGATGTTTCCATATCGTCATTTGATGATCTGTCTGCCATGTCAAAGTTGGATCTGTTATTTTAAAACCAGACAATATAAAAGCGGATATATTGTTAAGATATATAACGCATTTGATAATAAATTTACATATATCTTTATTTTGAAACAAACTAAACAATTATAATGAGAATCCGATAAATCTCTTCGTAAATAGAGTGAAAGAGTAAGAGAGAGAGAGAGAGAGAGAGAGAGAGAGAGAGAGAGAGAGAGAGAGAGAGAGAGAGAGAGAGAGAGAGAGAGAGAGAGAGAGAGAGAGAGAGAGAGAGAGAGAGAGAGAGAGAGAGAGAAAGAATCTGATAAAACACTTCGTAAATAGAGAGAAAGAGTAAGAGAGAGAGAGAGAGAGAGAGAGAGAGAGAGAGAGAGAGAGAGAGAGAGAGTGAAAGAGAGAGAGAAAGAGTGAGAGAGAGAGAGAGTGAAAGAGAGAGAGAAAGAGAGAGAGAGAGAGAAAGAGAGCAAGAGAGGGAGAAATAGAAATAGAAAGAGAGAGAGATGGAGAGAAAGTTAGTGGGGAGTGAAAAGTGCCACCATCCCATAGCCAAAAGTACGTGATTGTTCTCTCATATCATTAACACCGGCATATTAGATACTGGTTTTAAAAATCTCATTATCCAAAGAAGCTGGTCCATAAATCCCAACATACTACTTAGATTGTTTGTTGATTTGATTACAATTGTTCGTAATTTCCAAGAGTTTATTCTTTTTCCTTGTTCTTCTTGTTATTTTTTTGTTTTGTTTATTGCACTAAAAATAGTTAATATTTTGTTCAAACTTTATACCCACCCACAACATTGTTTTAGTGACGATGAAAAGACAAGCTATTAACAATTGTGAGGACTCTTGATATACAGGATATATTTTCTTTTTTAAAAAAAATATTTAAGATACCTTACAAGTTTAATCAAGTATTACACAGCTGGGAAGAACTGATTATTTTGTCTTGTTTAAAACCCAATGCTATAATAAGCATTATTTCAAGAAATTTTTTTATTAATCATTAACTTTGATATAAGATCTAATGTTTATCATAAAGAACGATATCAGCATTTACAAACACAATAAATTATTTTAAAAATATTTTTCTACATGCCATTAAATAAACTACCCATTTATGTGCATCACTTCAAAGCTAATACTTTATAAGAGGAAAATAATTTACGTTAAATTTGATGATTTATCTCTTTTGTTCCTTGACACAAATTTACGAATGTCAGATGCCTCACACAAGCCCCAGAGGTAAAAAGGTTATAACCAATATCCACAAATGACGTAAGATTAAAATATAGGTCATTTATAACAGATAATAACGATATTCCCGATAACTGTTAATAAATAAAGTATACTTTTGGCACAAAGAGGTTTAAACTTTGCTTCACTTACATTTCTTTTTAGTGGTGGAAATGTATTTCTCTTATGATGAGAACCTGTAAGGAAAACAACAAAAACAACCCCTTATGTTACATCTGTTTCTCATAATAATTGTTTATTATGATTCCTTTTAAAAATAAATTTTTAAAAAAAAGTTTGGAGGGCAAAATACTGTGAAATGTGGCGTAGGAAGTGTATGTGGGAAGAGGGATTTCAGTCCCGGTCCGGGTGCCCCTTTGTTTCATTTATATGGAGGGTGCTCAACATAATCTCTCTCTTGGAAGGAGGTGGTGGAAAATGATGAGCCCACTCTTGGGTGGCACTAGCCCTAGATACGCCAATGTGTATTTTAATTTATATTTTAACACTTTTTGATGAAGAGAATTTGTTCACTTATATTTCTCTCAGTCACGGAGAACGAGTATAGCACCATATTAGTTCAGTAGTCATATTATTATTATTATTATTTTAAATTAGCACAGCAATATTCTCTAGTCTCATAAGTAAATTACTATTTCTGGGGCAAATAAAAACTAATATAATTAATATGTTATTGTAATTTTAGTCTAGATTACTAATGTTTCGTATTCTAATTTATTTAACTTCAACCTGGCTTTCAACAATTTAACAATAGACAATACTTTCAATACAAGAATACCACTTTAAAAAAATGAATCTGCATTAGCCCATAATTTTTGTGCAAGATGATTCTTGATGTGACGTAATCAAAATTCCCAAAAGGAATATTTTAAGTTGATAAAACGTTATTTTAATAAAATCGGTCTCTTTTATGGTAAAATTTAAAAAACGACAACAACAAAAATATTTCTAAATTAATGGATGTAGCACCCTGAATCCTAAATGGATTTATTTTCGGCTTTGTTACTTAAAAGAGAGAGATAAATATTGTTAGTATCTATTTTATCAAAATTTCGTTACGTTTTTCAACTTGTAACTATTTCAAGATCCACCATTCAAAGAAAAATTCTGTGTAGATTCTATTTCCTTTCCCTCGGTTTGTCTTATTTCTAGCTTAAGCCATTATAACATCCTTTACAGTTATAAAAATTCATTTAACTTTTAATTTTGTGACATTACATTTCATTTTTGGTACAATAATATTTAATATGTTAGTATACTACGAAATATAAAACTAACATACGTTTAATTTGACGTGTAGCCTCTCCTGTTAAGAGGAACAAAAATAGTTTTTAAGGGCGTACAAGTGTATTGAATTGATTGTATTGGAAACTTTTTCCCTCTTAAGCCACGCCATCCAAGAAACCAAAAGTAAATCACGAGCTTCAGTTTGTTAGTTGTTAGTTTCGATGTAAGCGACTACTTTATAATTGCTGTGCTTGCCTCACTAAACTCTTCCCCCACTCACCATTAAAATCCTCCCCATTTCGTCAAACAAAAGTTACAAGTAGTATTTAGCAGTAAATCAATAATCAATGCCTGAAACATGTAAAGACAGCCTGGGAAATCTTGACCAAAAATAGTTCGGTTAAAATGTTAGAGAAAATCCTCGTCGAGAACTAGGGAAACTTTGATTACTGCTTTAAAAATGTTCAAACACAAACAGCGAAAAAACATATTTAGTGAATAAAATTATTGGACATTTGATTTTACAGATTCCATTATGTTTATCTATGTTTTAATAAGTTATATAATATTATTAATGCCTGGAAGTGGTATAGGAAGGGTATACCCCGGGCTGTACATTTTTCTGTATATTTGGTGGTGGAATTTCCGGAAAATGTAGATTTTTAATAACATTGTTGTGGAAAGAATCTTGGTCTACCAATGACAACAATAACCTTAGTTAATGCACTGGTGTCTGTGATACAGTAATTTTTCTTATTAGTCTACTATTATAGGCGTAAATAAAATCTGACGGTATCGCTACTATAGAGCAGGGGTCTCAAAACTTTTTAGCCCGAGGGCCGCATTAACTATCAAACAGCAGTTTGGATTGGGGGGNGGGGGGGGGGGGGCGATGGGAAGCGACTACACACTCGAGGTCAAAATAAAAAAAGAATCAAAACATGGATGTTGTTTTTAATTATTTATGTATTATTATTTCATTCAGTTATTATTTAATTTAAATTTAATATAATTTAAACTCATAAATACACGACAATTGAACACCTGTATTAGTAGGAATGGTGAAATTGTTTCCTGGATGCCCAAATAGCAGTGATTAGCAGACATTTCTAGATTTAGATTTGATGTGCCTAACATCAACAGTGACCTGAGATTATCATCGGACAAGTTTGTTCTCAAATGCTTCTTCATGTATATCGTTCTTGAAAATGTTTGTTCACACAGGCATGTTGTTCCAAAGATTGAAAGGTACCTTCATGCAAAAGTTTTGAAATTAGGAAAGTCTTCCTTGGGCGAAAACTGGTAAAAATCCACTAGTCCTTCTTTGACCTTGTCCCTAATGAGATCATTTGCTTGCAACTCAATGACCTCCAGGTGCAGTTCATCTGGGCGACTAGTCAAATTTGCTTTAAATGGGTTTTGAAACAATCTCACTTCTTCAGCCTTTAAATTCAAGTCAGAAAACCACTGCTGAAACTGCAGCTGAAGATCTTTGATGAGCTTCCATGCAAATGGCATGTGGAACTCTGCTGTTGCTTCAGCCAAGAAGACCGTCCACTGCTGAAAGTGTGTTAAGTTGTTGGCCTGTACTGGTTTCATAAAACATGGACGAATTTGGATCTGAAGGCCTTTAAGTGGGTGTATAGATCAGAAACTAGATTTTACTTTCCTTGTAGTTTTAGGTTCAGAAAATTTAAATTAATAGTTATGTCTGCATCAATGGCCATTTTCCATACCCACTCTTCATCAGACAGTAATGTCTGTGGCTGGCCTTTACTTTCCAGGAAGCTAACTGTTTCTTTTCCTAACTTAAACACTCTGCTCAGAACTTTCTCACAACTTAGCCATCTTATTGCTATGTAATATTGGTAAATCTTGCGATTCTGTGTCTGTATCTTTTAACAGGTCTCTGAACTGTCTATGGTTGAGCCCATGTGACCTTATTAAATTCACCATCTTCACCAAAGGATTGAGTTCTTCGCTAATGTCCACTTATTTAGCACACAAAGCTTGCTGGTGAATAATACAATGCAGGCACATTGTTTTAGAATTTTTTCTCATTACACAACTGCTTCACTTGTCCAACCAAGCCTTTCTTTATGGCACTCATGTTATTTCCCCAGTCAACAGTCAGGCAACTGAGTTTTGTCCTGTCCAAGTTATTATCAGCTATTGTTTTTTCAACTCATTGGAAAGCCAGGGATCTTGTGTTATGTTCATGTCTTTATCCACACACCCCTAACGAAAGCAAGCAGTTGAGAGGTGGAACATCCAGCGATTCATCCATTGCAATTAAAAATTGGCGAAACTTGCTTGCATTTTTCGCTATTTGAGTCAAATGTCTTCACCCATGTCTGCAACACGGCGGGCAAAGCTTCACCACTAGATTGCGTTATATAGTTTTATTTCATTGACTGTGAACGGAAGTAGAAAAACTAA